GTTTTGTCTATGTTACACTTTAGATGGAGAGAAAATTTTGCTATTATATATAGATGTCTTATGAGATTTTGAATACTGTAGTTTCTCAGTGTTTTAATCTTATGATGGATTTATAGTTTTAAAATACATCAGAAGTACATAAATATAATTAATTTGGCATTTTTTATTAGGTCTTAGACACACACATTCCGAACGTTAGATGAATTCATAACCTAATGAAATTCCAAATATTGGTTACTAAACGCTAAATTACGTGTTGGTGTAAAAAATGGTGTAAAGCATTGGAGCTGGGCTAACAAAGCTGTAAGCTTGTAAGTTGTAACAGAAAGAGCTAAACCGTCTGGTTTGATTATAAGATGACGACATTCGATATTTACAAAAGGTTGAATGTGAAATAAATCTAAAGTTTGAGGTGAATGTGTGATTTTCATAACTCTGAAGGGTCAAATATGAATAATATACAGTACAATTACAAAAAATGACCCCACTAGTATTCAATCAGACCGCGTAAAAAGAGCGCGTAGCAGACGCGTTGGCCACGTTAGATTGAGACACATTTCTCATTCACTCAGTCACGTACCATTTTTATATTGCATCAAACAGACTATTAGTACTTGTAAGTCCCTACTTGTAATTTAATTCTATATGGTATTATATCATATTATTAGTTTTAAGACTGAATTAGATAAAAAGACTAGTCCACTCCATTCTAAGATAAATTTTCTAATAATGAAAACAAAGTTAATTGCTGGGTTTTTATTTTGCCTTTGTCAGAGGTTATCCATTTGGCCTATAAACAAATGCAAATGTCATGAAGGGCACGTGACATGTGGCGTGTTATTTAAGCCACGTCACACGTGGAAAGAGCAATATTATGCCCACATTTTCGGATTATCCCTTTTTTCTCATTTGATTTTTATTGAAAAACAAGTTGAAATACATTTTCGGATTATCCTAAACGTTGTTTTTTTTGTTTTCCTTCTAAAAACATCTTAAATGCAAAATTCATAATTTTAAATCTTTGTTTTGGCGCTACAATTTCAAAATTATTATGGAAAAACTTTGGTTCTAAAATTTGTACGTGAATTTAGAGAAAAAATTTTGATTCTAAAAAATATCTATAAATTCATCGGTTAGAAAAAAAATAAAACAAAACTGGATTTATATTGATGTGAATCGAATATAAAATAAGATCTCGAATGAGATATGTTAAAAACTGAAAATATAGTGTTTAAGTTCTTGTGTCCGTAAAAGTTGGCCAAATCTGCTATGACTCTATCTATTTATAACTCAACTCAGCTCCTCGATCCAGCTCTACGTATCCAGGGCAGTTTCGCGTATTTCGAACACATTTTAGGTATATTTTCCGTAAATCTCGCTCCTACGACTGTGCTAATTGTCCTGTTGACTCGTTTCTAGTTGGTCAGCTCATTCTTCGTTGACTTAGCAATCGCAGAACTGACTCGGAGTTTTAATTGGGCTTTTCTCCGGGGCAAGACCGCATGCCCATCTTTTTCTTCCCTAAATGATATGTTTTCGATTGGACTTTTAGCGGACCGGATTTAGTGACGAATCCAACCCCAACAATTATTTAGTATATTTTAAAACAAAAAAAAAATTTCATAAAGACTAAAAAAAG